CCTCCAGGAACAAATCTTGCTAGACTGTCATTGGAAGGCAGAAGATGAAAATGATTTCACAAAGAAAAACGAACGGAAAGCAGTGTCCGACGGTCTCTCTATCAATTGATACGTGCGACTGTTCACATTTCACTAGTGGTCTGTGTTTCGAAGTGCCACAGAGCTGGTCACATCCATGCGCGTATCATTTGTGTGAACGTAGATGCCCCTATACCACACGTAACCGTGAAACTGTGGAATAAAAAGAGTTTGTTGCTGAAATTCTCAGCATGGAGAGGTTTAATCCGCTTTTGCGGCTTCTCGAAGGATGTGGGAATGGATCGAGATGACGGCTAGGAACCGTAACGGGAACGGATTCCCATCTTCAGCAAACGAATAGAGCAGAAAAAGTTCTGCAGCCGTACCCAAGGTCAGTACAGGCTTTACAATTGCGTGTCCGCCCAGGACCGCGCTGGTATGCGTTTCCGGTAGGTTTTTGCTTATGAATAAGCATCTTGCTTCATATCGCACGCCACGAATTGGCATCACGACGAACACGTGGCGAGGAAATTACGTGGCGAGGAACTTCATAATAATGTGTTTACGATTATCAGGATTATTAAGTCAGGAATGATAGGATGGGGAGGATATGTAGCACGCGGAGTTCTATCTCCACTGTCTTCGCATTTAAACTCGACTGACAAACCAGCTAACTGATACTCTAAGGTACAGGATCTTTTTCGTTGAAAAGTTTCGCTTACTTAACGATTCAAGAAGTTCCCTATTTTTATTCAACACGCAGTATTTGGTAATTTCGGACAGGTGGGCCCTGTAATGAACCATTTTGATCCAGTCTCCACTCTGACACACCATTCTAAAATAATTAGTCTTCTGTTTTTTAAAACAAAGGCGCGTGATATCGAAGCACCGCGTGTCGCGATTTGTTTCTCAACTTTTCTTTTACGAATTACAGTTAAAAAAGGAGAGTTACCCAGAATATTTACAGGCTGATATGCTGTGGGCACAGTAGTTGATTATTACAACATCTGATCAAATGAAAAATGCGTCAGTCTTCATTTCTGGGCGTGTGTGTGACTTTGACCAATCGCTAATCACTCTGCAGTCAGTACTACGCTATCAGAGGACAGGAAATCCCATAATCGATTTGCAATTACCCAAATCTAACTTTTCATCTATGCGTCAGCAAAGAGATTGATCAACAGACGAAAACAATAATTAAGCTGCTGGTGTCTTTCTATGCAGCCTAGTGCACTAGGCTGTAGGCGGAAATAGGGCAGGAAAGCTCTTCCTTGCGTATGTGAGGAGGGGTAAATTCATTTAAAAACGTCACCAAATAGTGACAGAGTGAAACAAATTACAGTCAGCGAACGAAGAGAGAGAGAGGGGGGGGATTGTCATGAAATGTATTGTCAGTTCAGTTTCGCCTACCCACAACTCCGTTTTAAATTAGTTAATACGAAGAGTTCTTCGCGGATTTAACTGTGATGAATGAACGAGTTGGTTCTAGTGTCATGTCGTGTCTGTGCTACCATCGAGACGAACGGAAAAATGAGTGCAAGAATGTGAATCCATTTTTAATTACTCACGAGCGTTTCCGATTATTTCCATTGCCTGTCCTTCGCTGTGTTTTGATTGCTGGGCAGATCTTCGACGCGTCGCATAATTTGGAAGCTATTCACCATCATCACTAAATGACCATCACTGACTGTACGGAGTCACGCAAACCGCATTCACAGACAACAGAAAGCACGAAGCTTTTGTCTGTTTGAGTCGGATTTTTCCTTCCACCACCGTGGAATTTTCTGAAACTGAATTTCACTCACCTTTGGCCCTTTTTTATTCTAGGAAACATTTGAAGACTCTAAAATGAAATCACAACAAATTACCCACGAGACAAACTGAACGTTCTTTTTAACTACCGGATGATGACGAACGGGTGGCCGCGCATCTCGTCCGGTTGGAATGATGGAAATAACACACACACACACACACAGTAACCAGACCTGCGTTTTGATGTAGCATCGTGCAGCCACACGCGTGCTCATTGCGCTCTCTGAATTTCGTCACTGCTGCAGTTTATTCGAATCAGAATTTTGCGTGCACAGAACATCTTCGGCGTTCGGATGTCTGTCGTCGGTGGTTGTGCTATCGTACGATGTTACCCTGAAAAGACAAATTTCTGCCGTTGGTATTATTGAAATTACCAGAACGTTCGCGCATGCTAGAATGCTGTCTCTCTCGCAAGTGCGGACCGATCGAAGCTGCAGGCAGCGTTCGTGAGACGAGCACCAATCGGATCGGAGTTCGAACTATGTCTCTCTGCAGGTGGAGCGACATTACCACTATGAAATTCGTACACCTTTATCAGGGGGAAGAGTGTTTATGGAACGCCAGGTTGCTGGACTACAAGAACAAAGACGCGAGGTATCGTGCTCTCGAGAGAATTGCTGCAGCGATGGATCTGGAAGGTTTCGGCGTTACTGATGTGAAATACAAGATCAAGAATATTCGGTCATCTTACTGCCAGGAGTTAAAGAAAATCCACTTTAGCCAGGCGAGCTGTTCCTCTCCCGAGGATGTGTACAAACCAAACGTCGTTTGGTTTAACACTTTGGACTCCTTCCTCAAGAGTTTCGTCTTTCAGCGAGACAAGACAAATTGCCAACTGGTAAGTTCAGTATCAGTTTAAAAGAGAATGGAGAACATGTGATGATGAGGAGCTTCATAGTTTGTACTCTTCATGAATATTATTATCAGGGTGACAACGTCGAGGTGAGTTTTGCATGTAGCACGCATAGAGGTAGAGAAATTCATACACATTCCGGTCATAAACCCCCAGGTCAATATCCGAGCTTACAACAGGGTGGACTCCGATGCTGATGGGAGGGCAATATTAAGATGGATCTTACAAGAGTATTTCGACCACCTTTTGTACCCGTTGTCTGCATGACACTGTCGTCTCTTAGACGCCATCCAGTGCCAGTATTATCGCCTTTGAGCTTCTAGTGTGTTACAGAATTTCTGTTACAGACGTATCGTTTGAGAACCAATGGCAAATGGCAAATGGCAGTGTGTTCCTTGTTTGCGAGACCCGAATCTTCCCCACCACCGCCACCATCGTCACCTCCAACACTCGGCAGATCGGTCTTTTCCGTTCCCCCTCCGCCAAAGGCACTCGGATCAGCTCGGATCCAGACCGACGACGAACCGGATCGTTCCTCAGCCCATTTCCAGTTGAGACTCGATCGTGAGAGAATCTGTACACGTTTTCCTTGTTTCCAATCTGCGCTGACCTCTTGCAGGTGGACGCCACGGGTCACATTCGCTGCCCATTTCGGCTGATCGCGATTACCACCCTGTCTGAAACGCCGACAGATATTTTGTCCACGGCAGTTGTATTATTTTACTTAATTCAAAACACAGTTTTTCGTCGTTTTATTTTTCGAGGTAAGTGAAGGAAAAAAAATGTTATTACGTAATTCACGTGCCATCACAATCTCTTGCATAGGCGCACTAATAATTTAGTCTAGTAATTGATTTGTGTAGGCTTGCGTCTGCCCGTAATTGAGTATGGTTTTTGATGAAACATTTTCAGATGACTACATCACGCAAGAGGAGTGAAATTTGGTTTCACTTCGTGGAATTGCCGAATGTTAGAAATAAAGCCGCGTGCAATTATTGCCACAAACCAGTTAGCTTTGTGGGTGGATCCACGGGCAATCTGTCCAGACACCTAAAGACGATGCATCCGGCCGTGGCCATTTTTAGATCGGCGTCTGCGCGCTCCGGGGTAAGTTCATTCCCTTCAACCCCAACTTTTTCTCGTTTCTCCCCATCTGACTCGGACAAAAGCAGCGGTTTGTCGCCATCAGCGAAGGTGGCGGCACCACCTGTAATGAAAGAGAAGCTAAATTAAGAATTATGTGCGATCTGTGGTTCTCACGGTCCTGAAGATGACGATGTTGTTGTTCTGGGTTGTGACGCAATGTGGATTCGTAGGCAGATACCTCAAAGAAAACACTTTATCCTTACGAATATCAACTAGGTAAGGTTAGGTTTGCGGAGATAGTTTTTACTCGGGGAATTGTACGAAACCACAAAGAGAAAATGCAGATGGTAAATATAGCTACCATTCGGCGTTAATGGGTTAAAGCGGGTGTGTTGCAACATGGCTCAACTGGATTTAACGAAATTAACCTTCAGTCATGGCGTTCGTATATATTGCAAGTTTTCTATGACACCACTGACGAAATTAGCGCAAAAATTTGTATTTATTTATCCATTTTTGCTAACAATATTCATGCTAAATCATTAAATAAAATATTCTTCAAAGGGAGATTAACAAAAGAAATTTAAGCCTTGCTTTAAATTCTGAAATTGGCGATAGTGCCTAGTATTTGTGTATGACTACGTTTTCGTCCTGTGCTTATAAGTCTTACAATTCACTACGTCCCCTCGTCTTCAGGTGAAAGCTGTCCTCCGTCTCTCCAGAGTAGGAAATACCTCAAATTCTTCGTTGCGCAGTTTTAATAAGAAGTCGGTGACCTTGCCCCCACCCACCATTATGAATATGGAGTTCAGAGAGATAGGCAAGATTGATAGACAAATCGGCTGACTGACACAGACAGACAGACAGACAGATAGCCCGTAGAACCCGAGAATTGATAAGAGCCGAATCCATTCGTCACATCATGCATCTTTAACATCCACTTGGGTATTGTCCTCCTATCAAAGCCTAGGTTGCTCAAGTGCTCTATCCCTCAAGGTTTTCTGATTAGAATTTTGTACGCGTTTCTCATCTCTCCCTGCGTGCTATGTGTCCCGCCCATTTTATACTCCTTGATTTCATTATTTTGGTAGTTCCTTAATTTTTATACAAAGGAAAAACGTTTTTTTAGAATTTTTTTGGGAATTTTTTGTAACGTAAACCAAGTGCATATGTGGCCTCCTTCTTCTGTTTAGTTTTTCTCGCCTTCTGTGCAAAAAAAAAGATGTCATTAGGTGCTTTAATTCACGTCGGTATGTTATCTGATGCAGACATCTTCCTAATTCTTCCCCTTATAAACAGAAGCTTTTCATAGCATGTCAGTTTAACGAAGGCAGGATTTCTTTGTGAGGTGTTTACATTGTCTGCAAATAATATATGATCTGAATATTTTAAATAATGCTAATCGCTTGTTTTGTTAAGGGGGTCATGCCTAATTAGTCTGAGTTTGCGAGTTCAAAGGACAAGCTTCAAGGCTCATTTTATGTGTTACGTTTTTCAACCAGCTTAACCAAATACTTTGCGTTAATAGGATAGGTTCGGCAGACGAAATGCTCCCGCAATAAAAGATGAAGAAGTAGTCATGGAAGATGTAACACAGCTGTACGACACTGACGAAGTCTGGACTGAAGTCGAAGAGGACGCGAGCGAAAAGCAGGACGCCGTTGAGATGCAGTTGCAGGAAATGTCCACCGCAGAATCCGCTCGGCACAATTTCAAGAGGTTCAGGCCGCAAGACTCTGACCTCGTTGGTAACGCAGTGGACAGGCTGAAAACCATGCTGGATAAGAAGGCAGACGACGGCGAGTTCGAGGCTTTCGGGCGGAGCGTCGCCTGTCAGCTGAAGAGACTGTCCGGACGCCGCGCTGCGTCCGCCCAGATGAAGATCCAGACAATCCTCAGCGAAGAGCGCATCGATCAGGAGATGGAGTAGCAGGCCGCTGGCGTGCCATAGTCGAATGCGTTTCTCTTTACTGTGGCCGATTCGAGCTCTTTGGTCGCTGTTCTGCAAATCTGCAGTCGACCTCTTGAAGCCCGAAGCTCGTCTAAATATTTAAGAATTTGGTCCGTACCGCAGAGAAAAAACTTAACTTCACCATTACAGAGATCAACTGGTTAACGCCGTTTAAGGAAATAATCGCTGTTCTTCTTTGAATTAACCGATAAATGCGCTCTGTGTTCAAAGTGTAGAGTTATTTTCATATTAATGTGGGCGGTCCACGCGGGTATCACTTTGCTTTGAAAGGTTAGTTGAAAAATATGTGATGTAATTGATTGTAAGTGTAAGTAAATCCAAAACAAAATACCATGACTGTTTCATGTTGAGTTCTTTTACATTGAATATGCATTGGTAATTGTTTAAAAAATCGTTTAGATCAAATTTAATTGATGCCCGAACAATAATTTTTAAAATGAAACATTCTGAGGGAGAAAGAATTCAGTCCACAGCCTCCCATCCGATTTTCTTAAGCTCCATTTTAATATTGTCCTTCCATCTACTCCTGAGTCGTCCGTGCAGTCTTTTCCCTTCAGACTATCTAACCAGAATTGTGTATGCATTGCTTTCAAAAGTAGAAATCTCGTCTTATGTAATTCCTCCCCCCCCCCAGTCATTTTACCCCTCCTAGGCCGAAATATTCTCCTCAAAACCCTGTTCTCAAATTCCAAGTTTGTGTGTTCTTCTCTTAGGTGAGGGACCTGGTTTGACTTCGCAACAGCGAAAGATACAGTTTTACGTGTTTTAAGGTGTACATATTTATAAAAGCACGAGAGAATGTTCAAATATTGTACACTTTCTTTCCCCTTTGTAGTGTAGGCTTGTCATCCTCAGTCCTGTACCAGAAATGTACAAAAGTGACTTGTAATTTGCTTTTATTGCCAGGAAGCAGCTTAAATTAAAACCGAAGTAAATGAGCGACCACTTCAGAAGGCAAATCGCAAAGCCTGTGTTAGCGGTTAAGGTTTCGAGTATTTTTATTACGTTTTACCGCACGTGCTTCTTAACTCCAGCGTAAAGGTACCGGGCATTTTGATTACGCCAGCGTCTTGTTATCGTACCAGGAAATCGAGGTACGCACTCTGTACTCACATGGTAACAGAAAACTTCATAATTTATTCGTCTTTCATCAGATATTTGTACTTTGCAGTAGTGAATGTAGCGAGAAAAGGATCAGTGGCTTGAGGTACTTCTGTGTGCTGATGACGTTAATTTGCTACGCAAAACATGGGCCTTAATGTCATAAAGACTGACTCTGACAGTTTTTGAAACCAGTTAATATAATTACATACAGGCGAAAACTGAAGTTGTTGGACACGTCACTGATTCGCTTTGATTTGAACTCTCGATCCCGGTGTCCAAGTGTTCAAGGCCCACCCCACGCACCCAGAGGGTTGAATTTATTGTGGATTTCACATTCGGTCTGGGACTTCACAAGTGTTGTGTGGATAATTAGATTTTGGGTTTTAATACTGACACGATATGTAGTTGAGGTTCGAGAGACGAGAAAGGTCTGCTGTGAGGATGTATTAAGCTGTACCTTGCCTGTTTAATAACGGCAAATTAAAATAGCGAGAGGGAAATTAAAGAATCAATTTCAGGCACACCCTGTGACGTTCAGCTTTGCGAATCGTTCTGTGAAATAAACAAATGCAATCGAGAGTATAACAGAGGAAGGAGTAAAAGAGGGAGGTTGGGAAAGTTTGAGGAAGGAATGGATGAGAAGAGAGAATTACGGGGCGAAGCTGTGTGTAATTCCAGGTAAATAATAGCTGAGACAGAGACTGAGTGGCATTGGATGGACGTGCTGAACGTCAGATTCCGGTGTGGTGCTGGAAGTAGGCCGCTGTCCAAACGTACGCGCCGGACCTCGTCTTTTTTGCCGGACCAACGACATCGACGTCTCAGGTTCTGTCTCATAGGTTTCGTTGGCGTCGGTTACTAGCGACGACATCCAATTACAGTTTCGTCCGCCATTCGTTTTCCGATTCTGGTACATTTCAACGACGATGCTTCGTCTGTTGTAGATCTCATTCTGTTCTAAGTTTGTTGGAATTCCTGAGACCTTAAACGGTACTGAATCAATCACTTACGTTTGTGTGGTATTACTTCCATGAATTTTGCTCGTTACGTACCATTGGCATAATTATTCAGGTTTAGGCCACTTTTGTTGACTGTGAATTATGTTAGTTGATACTGTAAAAAGTAAAGTTTGTCCCGCTATACGCCACGTAGGCGTTTGGGGTGAGTGGAGGTATAGCTCCTCTCTTCCTTGACCTCGGCACTAGATGGGGGTGAGTGGTCGGCATCACGCCCCGGCCGGCTTTACCCCCGGGAAAGGACCCCCGGTACCCATTGTAGAGAAGGCTGGGTGGGCCCCAGAGCCGGTCCGGACGCAGAGGCTAGAGGAAAAATCCTCTGCCTCCGTCGGGGATCGAACCCCGGTCGTCCAGCCCGTAGCTAGTCACTATACTGACTGAGCTATCCCGGCTCATTAGTTGATACTGTAGCACGCACAATAAAGAGTTCTCCGTATTTTGCGTCTAAATGCTCGATTTTTACGATTAACTAATTACACGTGCGCTGCTGTGTATCGTTATAATAGAGGTTTCTGGATGTTTTTTGTTGTATGATTAATTTGCAGTACTGTGCCGTGGTGGGATTCAATTTTCCGTGACTGTACCGGTTCCACGGATCGCATGCAGTCAACACAGACTCGTGATGGTACCGGCCTGGAACTTAAGCAAAAAACAACGAACTGTGTAAGTGGGGCCAGGGTTGCCATGCCTCCTGTAATCAAACTTTTTCTTTTTCTTTCTTTCTTTCTTTTTTATTAACCAGGCATGCAACGCGTTTTCTATTTTCTGTTTCTCATTCTAATATTCTGTTAGCAAAATATGCAAGAGTAAAGCGGATTTATTTTTTAGAGCTGGATTACAACAAAGTTTCGTGTCTCGTGTTGGCGAAAGTTCTTCAGGGGTCCCAATGCACGAAGGCTCTTCGGAAGTTTTGTCTTAAGACTGGCGCCTGGTAAGGCTCCAGTCCGCTCGCTTTGTGCCCCGCCATCTGTTCAAGCGTCTTACGAAATATCCTTCTTACACTTCGCTTACAAACCCGAACTTCACTGCAGTCTGGTTGCCATGGTTACAGAACAAAACTCTGTTGCAGAATGTTTATCAGCATTTCGCTGCAGTCTCTGACTGTACGAGCAGAATCCTTCCGATACGGAGTTTGCCCGTGGACGCCACGAAATGAAGTACGTGGGGAGCGGAGGTTTCGCTCCATACGTTTGGAACTCGGTACGAGGCGGAGGTGTGAATTGTCCGTCTCACGCAGTGCGTCGTTTGATTAAGATTCTGGGCCGGCCGACCCTTTCGCTTAAGACTCGCTGACAGTTCTTCGCAGGTACCGAAGGAAAGCAATTGAATGTAATGAAACGTCTGTCCCTCGACGGCTGATTCTCTCTGGTTTCGTACGATCGTATGAACGAACAGGCAGGTAGGTTGAAGTAAAGATCGAATGCTTGTCTTATAAAGAACCTGAAACTTATCGAAAATATTGTTTTTCATTGCTTGACAAATTCTATAGACTTGTTGCACCAATGAAGCTGTCGTCTTGTGTTGAGGGGAATTAGCTCAGAGACAGGCAGATTCATGTACTATGACATCATCACCATAAATTGCACCAATTTGTTTAAAATCATCACTCTTTATTCTCGAGCCTTAAGAAGGTTGGTGACATGCATTCTTGATGCAGGAGGTTCGAATATCGACCTTGTTGCTGGCTGCTTTGACAGGATTTACTTGGGATAGACTTAATTGTAGGATACGTGTACTGGGCCTACCCCCAATCAAGCCACGATCACCTCCTTCCAGATTCTTATCTACCTACCATACATTTATAGCCGTGTTAATATTTCAGACACTAGTGTAGACTGGCGTTGGCTGACCAGGGTGTTGGAAATTGGTGATCAGAAAGCAGTTGAGTCGTGGCGTGTTAAGGGTGCTCGATTGAGGGCAATCGGTTGCAATTTTGTGTAATTCAGAAGCGGGAACTACGTCACGCCGCCCCTGATATTAATACAGTGACTTAAATGTGCACAGATTGTTTAAATACCTATTAATAAGTCTTCATGCACCGCAAATTTGTAATTCGTCAATCGGTGAAATCGATTTTTAACAATTTAACCAATGTGATTCACCGGATTATGATTATTGTTCCCGATGGTGAATTCGTGTGTAGTTAAATGTGTCTACCACACCATTCCTTCAAGAAATTCAAATACCTGTCACATTTTTTCTAGATATACCGGCAGAAGCTGTCATTATACGGAACAAGCGTTGCTTATTTGTGTCCGTTGATTCGGTCACTGAGGTTGGCACACACAAATCTGTTGGTCCCGCACGAATAGCCAAAACAATGACAAGGAATAACAAATGGTCCATCAGTCAACATTCTGTTTGCTTGCATCTGACTCACCCCTGCCTATTCTGTTTATGGCATTTTTTATAATGCCAGTCGAGAGGGTGTGGTGGGGCTATTCATTTCTCCTGCGGACACGCCCCCTCGTTATGGTTTTCTAGCAACCCCCACATCATCAAAGGGTCGACTAGTGTTTTCCAAATTCCCCCCCCCTCCAACTTTCCTCACCCCATTCTGGGATACTGGGAACGACCCGTTCAAGTGCCCGAGCACTGCGGGTCCCAACCTTTCGTTGGCTTGATCTATGGACATTCGGTAGGACTCCTTAGATGATGGATCGGCCCGTCGCAAGGTCTCTACCTGTACACAGGACAGCACAACACAGAAAAACGCGGACAGACATCCAGGGCTTGAGTGGGATTCGAACCCACGGTCCCAGCGACCAAGCGGCACAAGGCCCACGCCTCACTCCATACGCCGCGTTAAAGTGGAACCATCAACGCAAGTAGTGGCTTCAGTTTACGTTTTTTGTATCAAAGTGATGAAATGAAAGATTTTGAGATGGTTCTGGCATGTAGCACGCGCAGGAGAGGTGAGCAACAAATATTAGTCCAAGAACCTGAATGGAAGGGGATGACTAGGAAGATCTAGGCGTAGATGGGTTGACGATGTCGACGTTGCCTAAATAAATAAGGCGTGATGACGTGAACTAGTTCAACTGTCTTAAGGCTCCTTGCGAAGACGCGAAATAACAGCTTCAGTTGATGCAGCGTCGAAACGCAACAGCGTTGAAAGGGTTAGACGACCGCCAATAGCGGTGGAACACGCGAAATTTACCGATGTGTCAGCTGCAACTATCTCGTATCGGGTGCGTGCTAGACAACCCGCTCGAC